GCAAAGTTGCGAATAAAATGACGAAAATGTGAACATAAATCAAGGAAGCTGCGAAGTTCTTTTAAGGTCTTCGGCTTAGGAAATTCGGCAACGGCACGGAGTTTCGTGGGATCCGAAAGAATGCCATCTCTAGATACAACATGACCCAAAATTAGGAGTTTTCAAGCGCCGAGGCAGCACTTCTTCAAGTTGAGCTGTAGACCGGCGGCGGTGAGACAAGTAAGCACTGTCTCGAGCCACTGAAGATGCATTGAAAAGTCGCTTGAAAATATCACGACATCGTCTAAATAACACAGACATGTCTGCCATTTCAGCCCACAGAGGATGTTGTCGATCATGCGCTCAAAAGTGGCAGGCGCATTGCAGAGCCCAAATGACATGACGTTAAATTCGTATAAGCCATCAGGGGTAACAAAAACTGTCTTGGGGCGATCAGCCTCAGCCATGGGAACCTGCCAATAACCTGAACGCAGATCTAGTGACGAGAAGAAGTCCACACCTTGTAAGCAGTCAAGGGCATCGTCTATGTGAGGTAGCGGCTAAACATCTTTGTGCATGATCTTATTCAACCGGCGGTAGTCGACGCAGAATCTTATTGAGCCATCCTTTTTCTTGACTAGAACAACTGGGGAGGCCCATGGGCTGTTTGTTAGAGGGCTCAATAACACCTCGCTTCAACATGTAATCAACTTGTTCCGCGATTATGCGACGCTCAGATGCCGATACCCGATACGGACGCTGACGTAAAGGAGCGTGAAGGCCAGTGTCGATTTCGTGAGATACTGTGGAAGCACGGCCCAAAGTCAGTTGCTGGTGGTCGAAGCTGGCGCGGAAGCGCTCGAGGAGGGCGATGATGTCGGTGCGCTGCTGGGCCGTAAGGTTGATGTCGATGCAGCGCGAAATTGCGTCGGTGAATGATGGGGAAGAGGATGACGCGCAACAATCAACAGCGTCAATAGGTAGCGTAGTCGAGTGGTCAGAAACTACACGTGCACTCGAGGGATCAATGTCATCGGCAAAGCCCAGGCACCCTCCGCACAGTAACTTGGAAGGCGAGGGAAACAGATTTGAAACATAAATTGCACTTGATCCATCGTGAACATTCAGAACAACGAAAGGAATCAGGAAGCACTTGCGGCAAACAGCGGTTTCAGAAGGCGTAAAAAGAACAGTTGAGCCACTAGAGACGTCACAGGAAAGCGGAACTAGGGCGGACGAGAATGGGGGTATCGAAGTGTCAGCGGCAACGAAAACTTATGCAGGTGAAAGGGACGAGTCGAGTGAAGCAGCGTTGCATAACGTCGCGAACTCCACTTCGGCGCAAGCACAGTCGATGACGACATTATGAGTGCAGAGAAAGTCCCAGCCTAATATAATGTCATGGGAACACTGCGGGAGCACTACAAACTCGACGACATAAATATTGTCAGCAATAACGACACGTGCTGTGCATGCAGCAAAAGGGCGAATTCGTTGCTCACTCGCAGTGCTCAAAACGAAGTCGTGAAGAGGCATTATGACTTTTTTTAGTTGTCGGCAAAGTTTTTCAGTCATTACAAACACTGCGGTGCCAGTATCGACCAATGCAAAAACAGGTATACCTTCAACGGAGACAGCAACGACGTTGGACGGCGAAAAACAAGATCTTGTGGAGTTCGAAAGATCCGCAGTTCTTGCCCCCGGAACTGCGGCTCCTAGTTTTCCTGAGAGACAGGGCGAGGTCGACGTAGCATAGGGGAAAGGAAACGACGTTGAGGTGAAGGCGACCGGTGTCTGTTGAAGTTCCGGCGAGGTGAAAATGTGTCCATGATGGCAGTCTCGCCATATACAGCAGGCTTCGGTCGTGGTGGGAAATCATAATTGTTGGGCCCGACGTCGTCACGCAGGAAAAACTCACGCCGTCGACAAAATCGTGCCACGTGACCCGCAATTCCACAGGCGAAGCATATGGGGTGGTTGTCTTGAGTGCGCCAAGGGTTTTGAAAGCGTGGAGGTGGTCGTCGGGAGAAAGGACGGGCAGTCTGGTACATAGGCACAGTCGGTACGACAAAGGGGCGGGCGCGTGGACGTAGGCGTTCGCTACAAAGAAACGTGGCCGTTCGCGACAGGACGTCGAGTTCCGTTCAGTGCTTCGGCATAGGTCAATGGAGCAGCCAAAGGTGAGCTGTTGGTAGTGCCTCGGACACTTGCTCCTGTACTACTCGCTGTATCGATGGCGCTGAAGTAGATGGGGCACCTTCGGAGGTACAAGGCACGAGGGACAACTGGCGTGCGACCTCCTCTCGTACAAATTGCTTGATCTCGAGAAGCAAAGTGGTGTGGTCTATAGCAGTGCCAGCCGACGTTAAATCGGAGATTGTTGCACATGGCGCGCTGGCACGATGAGTGGTGTCACGCTGTTTCCAGAGCTCATCATAGCTCTGACAAAGTTGGATCACTTCCGCTACTGTTTGCGGGCTTCTGGCGACAAGCATCTGAAATGCGTCGTCAGTCACGCCTTTCAAGATGTGTTTGATCTTCTCGGCTTCTGTCATGGCCGAGTTGATACGCCGGCAAAGGTCGACCACATCTTCGATATAACTGGTGTAATTCTCACCATTCTGCTGAGCCCTAGTACGCAAGCGCTGTTCGGCCCGTAGTTTGCGAAGCGCTGGACAGCCAAACAAGTCCGCAAACGCCGTTCGGAAGGCCGACCAGGTGGGGAGGTCTCTCTCGTGATTACGGTACCACAGACTGGCGACGTCGGTCAAATAAAATTGGACGACAGTAAGCTTGTGCGCATCGTCCCACTTGTTGTGCTTGCTCACCCGGTCGTATTCGTCGAGCCAGTCTTCCACGTCTTTGTCATCGGTTCCACTGAAGGTAGGTGGATCGCGTTGCCGAAAGGAGCCAAGACAGACAGGAGCTGCAGTAGTTGGAGCCGAGGCGGCCGCCTGCTGATCTTCGTCCGTGGACATCGTAGCAACTGGAGGCAACGTACGGTTTCGCAGTTCCAGGATTAGGCGTTACCCAGCACTCTCCACCAATTATAATGAGGCGTTTTAGAGTGGCCCTCTTTTATAAAACAGGAGAGCGGTCACGACACGTCAAGTGGTAATGGCGGAACTAGCCTGAGTACCCAGCCAACCAAACGTCGTCTTCTTCACCGACTGAGTCATACCCCCTGCCTTTCTGAGTAGCACTCATCTTCTTCACTACAAACATATTATTTAGTAATGACAGGTGATTGTGTTCCATAGGAGAATTGAATTCCTTGTTTAAATAATTTACCAGCACTAACCAAATTCAGTGCCAAAACTGAAACCAAAGCCAAAATGAGTGAAACTAGAGCACAGTCAGAATATCAAAGTTCACAACAACGACTGCAGTGGTATTCTGCATTTGTTTATGTATTTGTGTCATGTGTACTATAATTGTAAGAATAGCCCCCACACTTAGTGAAGTAGATCAATAGTTGATATAACAACTCTTGTTTACTCTGGATGAGTATGGCATTAGCGCTCTTTTGAATTTCGGTTTTGCGTTCACTGGCGAATTGGGTCAGCACTCATCACTCTACAAATACTACCAGCCGCCAGTTTTTGTCAAAGCAACTATGAGCTATGTGCTGGAAGGGTTGTGATTCTTCCATTTGACCCGACAACTTGTCTCCAGTAATTAAAAAGTTAATCAATATAATGCCTTTATATACTGCTGTGGTTAATGTCTACAGTCGCGTTAAGGTACCTGCCCCAACATAAAGAGTAGTCAGCCAGCAAATATTGCAATTTGCTTATTTTTTAGGGTTTTTGGACACATGCCTTGAAATGTCCTGTATTTATATACAAGGTGTTTGAATAAATGTGTCTGGAAGTCCTCAAAATAAGAGAAATGATATATTTACTTACTGTCTTCATAGTTTCTTTTATCATAATAATGGCATTTTTTCTCATTTTCAACATGAACTTCAAAAATCTCACTCTTGAGGGATTCAGTTGCTTTTATATACTCACGATTTGCAATTACTTTGATTCTGGCTTTCCTACTTTATGCATATTCCTTGCCTTCTCAAAAGCCTTTATTAAAGTTAACCAACTGCTTCTCTTGCATAAACTGAATGTACTGAACAAAGGCACCCATTTATGAACATCCAAAAAAGTACACTTACTTTCTTGGGGAGTAAGTACGCTTGAAAGCATTCATTGGCTTACTCTGTTAGGGATGCTTTCTACTCTCGAAAGCATTTTTGTTGTCTAAAAACCAAGAGATATTGCTACGAGATTTAAAACTTTTTTTAGCCTGTCATGGCTGAAGCGCGCACTTAACTCGTTCATCAAGACAACGTACTCTACGAATATAAATATGTTTGAGGGGCATTTTAGCACAATTTCCCTTCATTATCCCTTTTTAGTTAACTATATTTTGCATAGTTTTCAATGGAATTTGCATGTGTTAAAGATGTTATTGAAGCCCTCATCACACACCACACACAAAAAAAGGAGAGAGCCCATATTGGTGTGATTTAAGAAAATTTTCTAAGAGTCGAAGGTAGTACTTGCAGGCAGTGCAGTAACAATGTATTCCATCAGAACCACTTGCAGGAAAAATAAAGAGATGTGTATGTGAGAAAAAACACCAATGTAAGATACATTATATGAGAAACAAAACTTGTTACAAAGACCTCAATTTTATAAAAGCACGATGAAGTGTAGTCACATCAGTACTTTATACCAAGACAAACCAAACCATCCAAATCATTATGTTGCAGCACTTCAATGACAGTGATACCATACACTTTCACTAGTAATGCCGTATTAAATTCTAGGTTTTAAGGTAGATGCTTGTTTCGTAGATTTTAGTATTTCAACTTTCAAAATAACTGTTGGCAACATTGTGATATATTGTACACACATGAATGCCCAAAATTTATGATGCAATTAAAATATTCATATCTAGTTACACCTCCCATAAATATATGTGCATTTCACTCACATGGATTAGTTATTACAGACCCACTGTACCTGGTGCTTGTTCCCCGAGGTAGTCGTCTGCTTTAAGAAGCCCCAGCAGGGGAATCAATGATGCATGGCCAAGCTGGGCTTCAAAAAGCTGCCGGTCACGGTACTTTCCAGTGCCTGTTCCAACTTGGTTGTCCTGTAAGCAAGAAAACAAAAAAAGGTCAAGTGTCTCAACATAAAGCACTTTATGATGCAGGACTAGAAAATTGAACATATACAAAATACTGCACACTCACAAATTCCACACCAACCATCAAGTCTTCACTGGTATCATGCAGGTGGCCCAGCCACCGCACTGTGCCGTACTCTGGCCCATGGTCGCTCACCCACACGACACGGTCGTTGATTCGCAATGGTGCCGATTCCGAGTCACAGAAGTCTCTCAGCTTATCTTGGTGCCATGGAGCAGGGTCACATCGAGTTATACCAACTGAGAGTTTTTTCTTAGAAGGAAGACGTGGTACCACTGAGTTGTGCCCTGCGTGTGCAGAACATGGGGTCATCTTAATGTCAGTTCCTATAGTACAGCAAGGCCACTAGAACCAAAACAACATGCATTATATTTTTATTATTGTTTCTCTTGAATCCTCAATTCCTATGTTATTGATGAGAAACAGGAAAGCTATACAATTAGCAGCTATGCCAAGATTGCACGGGTGCCAAGTGAAACTTAAAACACTTTTACACTTTTTTTTCCAACAAGTATATACATGAAGCCCGTGTACTTTGATTTAGGCGCACGTTGAAGAATCCCAGGTGGTCAAAATTTTTGGAGCACTCCACTACAGCGTCTCTCACAATCGTATGGTGGTTTTGGAACCTTAAACCCCAATACATATTATTAAATGTCATGTGAATGAGCTTACAGTGCCAAGCTAGAGGAGCCACTCTTGCTAGAAGAGGACCACGTGTGCCTTTTCCTCTATCAAAACAATGCTGGCAATGGTGCCGTTATCACAGTTACGAATCGTGCATGTGCTGTTCTCACACATGTGAGAGTCATGGTAAAATGTTTACTTCGAATCTTTCTCAGCCTTTGTGCAAAACTTTTCAACCCAGAAAGAAGTAACCAAGAATAATGATGTGAGATTCCTGAACACGTTATTGTTGGATGAGATGCAGAACATGATGCTGAAATTTTTCCAACTATTTGAATACTCAATCACTTGGATAACTAAGTAATAAGGATAACTAAATAAGCATCAACAGCAGCAACATTCACTAGCGTGAATGCGGCAACCACCAAAAAACTGTTGTTAGTGAGATCGTTCTTTTTGTCACATTTTAAAAATTTAGCTTAGTTGAGTTCTGCGTAACTACGTACATAATCACCGAAGATATTCCAACTTGTTGGAGTGCTATCCAACTCTGTAAAGCTTTTTCGCCCCATGGCGCCCGCAAATCGTAGTTAGCTCGAACCCTGACTCATAACCTCCGAGATTGCGGGCGCGCGGCGTCGCGCGCCTGCAATAAAAAAAAAAGGCATTTTTTTAATCTATTCATCTGTATATTGTCACCGGAAAAACTCATATGGTGCCTTATGCATTCGCCTAAGATTAGTAGACGGCAAAAGCTATTTTCTTCTCATTCGATTGTATCGATGCACACGGCCTCGAAAAAATTCTGGTTTTGCACGGCCTCAGTGATCAGAAACTTTGATTGTACCGATGCACCCGCCCACCCTTTTCGAAAAAGGGCGCTCCTAGCGCCACGGATGCGAACTATAGTCTGCTGCCATTGTGAGGGCACCGCAGCAGACGACGCACGCTGTATGTCCCAGCGACGTTGATGCGTGTTTCTTGCAGCACACACAGACACCTCTTGCGTTCCTGTAGGACAAGGACTTGCGGGAGGGTAAGCTGATAAGAGTCTCTTGCAGGCTGGATTCATGCATTGTCAGTCATAACACGCCAAACTGCTCGTCCAACCAACCAGTTGAAGGGTTCAAAATATTGCTCATTGTGCAATGGAAGCAGCTCAAAAAGCTTATCGGACAGTACTATAAGCTCGTTCAAGCTAGAAAGCGGTGCGATTGCAGCGGATGATATGTAGAACTTGCTACCAACACAAGCATCACAGCACTTGCGCATTTGATTGCTCGCGTTCCATGCCCTCATGATGGCGCTTGCTATCCCACGCTCCTTTGCGAAGCGAAACTGACGAAAAGCTCACCGTCATGTAGCGTATTTATGAAAAGGGTGGCCTCAGTGATCGGACACCTTGCAGGCTTTCTGCACCTCACGTAACTCCGGGTTACGCTCAGGTATGACCAAACGGTGATTTAATGTGATTAAGATCATCATTTAGCCCCACATTGTGATGTCCCAGATACATTACTACGATGTCATCATGGTGTCTCATATTTTCGCGATCTGTGAGGTCACAATGACATGATGTGACGTCGCTATACCATGATAATTTTTTTTCGCAATACTAGCGTTGACGCCGATTGTCACTTTTCATGTTTGGTGAGGCATCACAGGTTTTTGTCTTAGCTGAAACCAACTGTCACCAGAAAATTTAAAGGCACACTAAAGAGAAATAATGAGTTGTTTTAGAGTGATAAAAAGCACTCTGAGAACTCTAATGTCATAAGTTTCACTGTCATAAGTTCATTCTTAGCGGAGAAAATCAAGGGTGAAGTTCATTTTAAAATTTCGTGCCGTGATCTCTGCGCGTGAGATAAGAAATTCCACAATGTATTTTTTAAATTTTCGCGATGTTGGCTCGATTAAATTTTTGAGACTTCATATGCTAAATCTATGGCACCCACAAATTACTATGTACTTCAATTTTATAGATTAGAACTATGTAGAGCCGAGCAGATTCCTTCAAAAATTGATTATGTCACAGTGTTTGGTGCTGAAATCTCAAGGCGATCTACTTTCTTTTCGCGCATTTTCTTGCTTACTAAGTGTCGTGTCGCTCATGGTAAGAGTGGTTTTCGGAATTGTGAAATTATACTTCACTAATATGAACGCTCTTTAGTGTCCCTTCATACGCCGCTCCGTGCAACGAACGAAAAAAAGGCGACGGACAAATAAAAAACAAACCATCCATGGCAAAAAAAAAAAAAATTGGCAGCATATCCACGGAGTGAATGATGGAGAGCGGGGCGAAGCATTCGTCCGTCCATTCGTTCTTGCTTCCATCTGTGTGACCGTCCATGCGTCCATCCGCCCGTCCGTGCATGCATCTGTTCGTGCGTCCGTCCCTGCATTCGTCCATGCATCCGCCCCTACGTCCGTTCATGCGTCCATCCATGCATCTGTCTGTGTGTCTGTTTGTCCATCTATTCAACACTCCAAGTACCACCATCTCGCATCTTTTCATCATATATTCCGCATATAGAAGCACCGCCATCCAGCTGACATTCCAAGGACTAAACGAGAGGTGGCACACGCACACTTTCTTACAGCTTGCACTTCGGGTCTACTTCCCACCTTTAACCACCTCGAGTTCACGGTATATACTAGTTCACTGTATTCATGGTACTGCGGCCCAAAGCTCACTAAACCTTTCTAAAACCAAGGTTACGCCCAGCGAGTATAACGTAGCAACCTTTTCGTGTCAGATAGTGCTCAATGTACATGCCAATGGCTGCTATTGGGAAATGAGAGACACGAGAATTCGGCTTTTACTTTCTTACGGCTTGCGCTTCGTATCTACTTCCCACCTTTAACCACCTCAAGTTCATTCATGGTATATACTAGTTCAGTGTATTCATGGCACTGCGGCTCAACGCTCACTAAACTTTTCTAAAACCAAGGAGGTTACACACAGCGAGTATAACGTAGCAACCCTTTTTTGTCAGATAGTGCTCAATGTACATGCCAATGGCTGCTAATGGGGATCGCAGCGTGCGCGTTAACTAAAAGCCGAATGCTCCTGTCTCTCATTCCCCATTAGCAGCCATTGGTATGTACATTGAGCACTATTCTTTATTGTTCAATAACGCACAGAAGAAATCTCTCACCGGCACCGCCTTGGAAGTCAAAATGTTATACTTGTTACATACTACAACGGCTACGAGGGACGAACGGGTGCCGCTATAAGGAGCTTCGCCCCTAAAAATTCACAGTTTCGCCAAAAGGGCGAAACAATAAATGCGATAGCAACATATTCGAATGTTTTATGAAGCAAGGCTTGCATCCGATCTCGTGTCACTCTACAAAACGCTGGTGCAAAGGCGCGTTCACACTAGAGCAACACGACACTGCCATGACACTGACGAAGACGCGAGGCAGACGCAGACCATCGACCTACGAGTCGCCCGTCGACGAAGTCACCAGACTCCATGGTCACACTAGATCAACGACGACGCCTCAAAAGACAGCATGTCGTCGTAGTGTAAGGTAATGACAGACCGAAAACGCCAGCAAAACGCATCGGCAGACCTCTCGTCGGCGTGTCGTCCTGCTATCTGCGGCAGGATGAAAATTTGCCCACGTCTGCTTCAAACGACCACGAAGCGGAAAATCTAGGGGGTGATAACAATGCCCCCTCTGAGGCTTCCACAGCGTTTGAATAGGCATCTTGCGCACCCCACGGAAGTCTTTTCTTCACTTCCCTTTTGTGTATCCCCACCCCCGTCCTTCGACGCTGAGGATTATGGCAGGGACAGCGCCCTGTAGCGGGAGAGCAGAAGCTGTATGATATGGTAGAGCAGGCAGCATGGCTGAAAATGAGGTGCAGGTCTGCAAGTTTAGTCGGTGTCGCTGCGTGTGCCTCCTGTGTGACTACAGAATTGGCCAGTGAAAGGCTGTGAGCACGACAAGGCATGGGCTGAGTCTTGCAGAGACCATTGGAGGACTGTTTGTGCCGTTATAGTGTAAATATGACGGCGACAAGACAAAAGACACTCCCAAAGACAGTCGGCAGACCAAAATCGATATCGCGACTCTCTAGTGTTTAAGAAAACACGGCCGCTCCAGGTACACTTTTGGCACCGTTTTTAGTGTTGCGAGAGCAGTCCGTAGAAGCTCCCGTCTGCTGTGGGGGGCATAAGGCGCGCGCTGATCATTGTCGCGATGGCGCGAGAACTATAAGCGCCCTGTCCAAATAACGCGCAGACGCGTTATTCGAAGGTCGCAGGTTGGGCGTTGGGCATCTCTGCCGTGGATGGAGATGCCCAACACCCTCTTTATACTTTTTCTGATCAGAGTTTCCAATTTATTCATGGAAAACATGAATCGGCATTTGAGGACAGAAACAGTTTAATGCAACAGATAGAGAAAGGGCGCTGCTCGCGAATCGTGCTGCTTTGTAGCCTTTTAAACTACATCAACGATGAAGCGGCGGCATTGCACTCATTCTTCATTGATTTGGTACATAACTGTAGACCAAGCCCATTGTGAATCACGAAGTCTCATAATGAAGTTGGCCTGGAGTTGCACATGCGTCAGAACATGCTGCACAGACCCCTTCCATGCCCTCGTATACAGCCATGTTCGTATATTTCGAACGTTTATGAGACAT